TAAGTATAGTGGTAAACAAGTTAATATAATTAGACATACTGCTAGGCCAAGGAAGTAGTAGGAAATCTAATAACGAAGAAACACGCTAAAGTCATAGTATGTCAAGCTAGGTGTACATGAGAGAATTATAGTAAGTGAAACATGCTTAGCGGATCGGGCAGGGAGGGTCAGTAGTATTACACAGTAGATATGTTTGCCCGTTTTGTAATGTAGTTAAGTAACAGGCTAACCAGCAAGTGAAGCGCTCTCTACAGGGAGTGCAGAATTATTAGGCAAATTAGTATTTTGACCACATCATCCTCTTTATGCATGTTGTCTTACTCCAAGCTGTATAGGCTCGAAAGCCTACTACCAATTAAGCATATTAGGTGATGTGCATCTCTGTAATGAGAAGGGGTGTGGTCTAATGACATCAACACCCTATATCAGGTGTGCATAATTATTAGGCAAATTCCTTTCCTTTGGCAAAATGGGTCAAAAGAAGGACTTGACAGGCTCAGAAAAGTCAAAAATAGTGAGATATCTTGCAGAGGGATGCAGCACTCTTAAAATTGCAAAGCTTCTGAAGCGTGATCATCGAACAATCAAGCGTTTCATTCAAAATAGTCAACAGGGTCGCAAGAAGCGTGTGGAAAAACCAAGGCGCAAAATAACCGCCCATGAACTGAGAAAAGTCAAGCGTGCAGCTGCCACGATGCCACTTGCCACCAGTTTGGCCATATTTCAGTATAAGGAAGGAGCAGTAAGTGGGGAAAAGTGCTAAATACAGTGCAGGCTAATCACCCCGAAATAGGGATCACTCCCAATCCCAATAAAATACAAGCAAATATGTATAGTTTAAAAAACATATACCACCGGGGGCGCCACAATCACAAACATGTGAATATATTTACCATGGTATGTTCATGGGTATGCATATAAGGAGATAAAATAAAAGTATATATAGTGAAGTATTTAATAACAAATAGAATAAAATAATAAAAAATAATTGCACTCACAAATGTAGTTGCACAACAAGAACATATGTCCTAATTGTGCTAAGAAAGCCTGTCAGCCCTTAATTGGGCTAGAGTCCCCTCTTGTAGCAGGATCCCGATTTTCAAAAGTTCCAATGGCCTCCAGTAATAATCTGCTTGAAGGTGGATGAGATCCAAAGATACTAGGGACACTAAAAACAGAGCGGGGAAGGCCTATGATAAAATTAAGGAAGGAGCAGTAAGTGGGGAAAAGTGCTAAATACAGTGCAGGCTAATCACCCCGAAATAGGGATCACTCCCAATCCCAATAAAATACAAGCAAATATGTATAGTTTAAAAAACATATACCACCGGGGGCGCCACAATCACAAACATGTGAATATATTTACCATGGTATGTTCATGGGTATGCATATAAGGAGATAAAAATAAAAGTATATATAGTGAAGTATTTAATAACAAATAGAAAAATAATAAAAAATAATTGCACTCACAAATGTAGTTGCACAACAAGAACATATGTCCTAATTGTGCTAAGAAAGCCTGTCAGCCCTTAATTGGGCTAGAGTCCCCTCTTGTAGCAGGATCCCGATTTTCAAAAGTTCCAATGGCCTCCAGTAATAATCTGCTTGAAGGTGGATGAGATCCAAAGATACTAGGGACACTACAAGTCGGCCAGTGTCCCTAGTATCTTTGGATCTCATCCACCTTCAAGCAGATTATTACTGGAGGCCATTGGAACTTTTGAAAATCGGGATCCTGCTACAAGAGGGGACTCTAGCCCAATTAAGGGCTGACAGGCTTTCTTAGCACAATTAGGACATATGTTCTCGTTGTGCAACTACATTTGTGAGTGCAATTTTTTTATTATTTTTTTATTTTTTTTTATTTTTTTTTTTAATTATTTTATTCTATTTGTTATTAAATACTTCACTATATATACTTTTATTTTTATCTCCTTATATGCATACCCATGAACATACCATGGTAAATATATTCACATGTTTGTGATTGTGGCGCCCCCGGTGGTATATGTTTTTTAAACTATACATATTTGCTTCTATGATAAAATTAGCCTGCTTAAATGTTGGGGTTTAAATTCCCACATTCCCCTCAGAAGCGAAATATTTTTCTCGATTTCTTAAAAGACGAGGCAATCACGATTTGTGGAGTTCAAAAGACGCACTGGCGTTCGACAGATAAACAATGGCTCAAGCCTAAAGATTACCCATATTTTTTTGCCTCATCTATGTCTAATAAAAAGAAAAGAGGAGTAGCTACACTCATTTCAGCCAGGGTAGCCTTTAAATACACAGCTCAAAAAAATAAAGGGAACACAAAAATAACACATCCTAGATCTGAATGAATTAAATATTCTTCTGAAATACTTTGTTCTTTACATAGTTGAATGTGCTGACAATAAAATCACACACAAATTAAAATATGGAAATCAAATTTTTCAGCCCATGGAAGTCTGGATTTGGAGTCACACTCAAAATTAAAGTGGAAAAACACACTACAGGCTGATCCAACTTTGATGTAATGTCCTTAAAACAAGTCAAAATGAGGCTCAGTAGTGTGTGTGGCCTCCACATGCCTGTATGACCTCCCTACAATGCCTGTGCATGCTCCTGATGAGGTGGCGTATGGTCTCCTGAGGGATCTCCTCCCAGACCTGGACTAAAGCATCTGCCAACTCCTGGACAGTCTGTGGTGCAACGTGACATTGGTGGATGGAGTGAGACATGATGTCCCAGATGTGCTCAATTGGATTCAGGTCTGTGGAATGGGCGGGCCAGTCCATAGCATCAATGCCTCTAGCGTCTTGCAGGAACTGCTGTACCTAATGGCACAGGCTGTGATGGGATTCCAGCATGGTTAAAATTTAGTAGGCCAAAATCTCCATGTGGCATATGTGTATGTCAGGCTCATGTAGCATACTGTCATCAGTGTACTGAGCATGTTGCAGGAACTGAAATTGCACTTATTTCCTTTGTCTTGGATGGCCAACCAAGTCTATATTCTGCTCATTGATTGGTTAAAGGTATATGTGGGTGTAGCTATTAATGGGAGGAGTTATGTGCCTATATAGGAAGCCTGCACTATTGTTCAGGGCTCAGAACTTGCTGTATTTTTGGTGACATTAGTCCCTCTGAGTCCCGATCGGTGATCCAATAAAGAATCTCTTCCTTCCTGAAGAAACCTGTGTCCATCCCTCTTTGCTTTGCTTCCGTCAGTTTCTCCGGTATCAAGGCTACCTCTGGCAAGCACATGGAGGGCTGTGCCTCCCCCCAAAGAAATGCCACCCCACACCATTACTGACCCACTGCCAAACCGGTCATGCTGGAGGATGTTGCAGACAGCAGAACGTTCTCGACAGCATCTCCAGACTCTGTTACATTTGTCACATGTGCTCAGTGTGAAGAGCACAAGGCGCCAGTGGCGAATTTGTCAATCTTGGTGTTCTCTGGCAAATGCCAAACGTCCTGCACGGTGTTGGGCTGTAAGCACAACCCCCACCTGTGGACGTCGGGCCCTCATCCCATCCTCATGAACTCTTTTTCTGACCGTTTGAGCAGACACATGCACATTTGTGGCCTGCTGGAGGTCATTTTGCAGGGCTCTGGCAGTGCTCCTCCTGTTCTTCCTTGCACAAAGGCAGAGGTAGCGGTCCTGCTGCTGGGTTGTTGCCCTCCTACGGCCTCCTCCACGTCTCCTGATGTACTGGCCTGTCTCCTGGTAGCGCCTCCATGCACTGGACACTACTCTGACAGACACAGCAAACCTTCTTGCCACAACGCTCATTGATGTGCCATCCTGGATGAGCTGCACTACCTGAGCCACTTGTGTGGGTTGTAGACTCTGTCTCATGCTACCACTAGAATGAAAGCACTGCCAGCATTCAAAAGTGACCAAAACATCAGCTAGGAAGCATAGGAACTGAGAAGTGGTCTGTGGTCACCACCTGCAGAACCACTCCTGTATTGGGGGTGTCTTGCTAATTGCCTATAATTTCCACCTGTTGTCTATCCCATTTGCACAACAGCATGTGAAATTGATTGTCACTCAGTGTTGCTTCCTAAGTGGACACATTGTGTTGTTTAAGTGTTCCCTTTATTTTTTTGAGCAGTGTATATTTACCAGGAAGAAGATATTGAAGGGAGAACGCACATTTTAATATGTGAAATCAATAATCAAATTTATACGATTGTAAATATATATTCCCCAAATCAGTCACCTATAACATTTATTCATAAAATATTCAACAAGGTTGATCGAATTAGACAAGAGAGGATAATATACCTGGATTCAGATATGGATACGAAAAGTCTATTTAGAGATCAGAATAATCGGCACCTGAAAAATTCAACCAGGAGTTTAAATGATATTCTGAAAAAGAGAGGTCTCTTGGACCTGTAGCGAATATGGCATCCTATGGAAAAGGATTTCACTTGTTTTTCTTATGCACACCAAGTCTACTCAAGAATTGATCTCATTATTGCTGAACCAGAATTATCAAAAATATAAAAAAAAAAATCTTCATTATTAATATACCTTCGTCTGATCATAATGCAATTATTACTCTAATTAAGGATGATATGTTCAAAGATAGATCTAACTGGCGGTTAAATTAACATTTGTTAAAAAAATCCCAATTATCTAAACCAAATTAAAGTAGTAACAGACTTTTTTTTTTTTTTTAAAGAAAATTACAATAAAGAGGTATTAATCCCTGTAATCTGGTGTGTTTACAAGTGCGCGATTCAGCGTCGCTTAATCAAACTGGGATATCAAGAGAAAACGAATAGTTCTAAAAGTTTAGCTCAACTATATATTGAATTGGATAAAGTGGAACAAGAAAATAAAGCGGGACCTAGTTTAGAATTTAGTTATATATCGAAATCACTTAAAGAAAAAATGAATGATTTATTGATTCTAAAAACCAATATTGCCCTGGAGAAACTCAAAAGAACATGGTATTATAAAGGTAACAGGACAGATTATTATCCAGTAGATTAAAAAAAGAAAAGATAAAAAAGATGGTAGCTAAGTGTAATGGTATTTATTAATTAATGACTTTTTGTCATAAAAAAGCATAATGAGCTTAATGCTTTAGACGCACAACTACATGTCAGTAAAGCATAATGAGCTTAATGCTTTAGAGGCACCACTAGGGGTCAGTGTGCTAACTCATGTGCTTCTGGCAGTGACATCACAGGCCAGCCTACTTACTGGATAAAACCAAATAGTAGGAGGAATTGAGCCTCCTTTTTCCTTTGCTTGCATTGATTGAACATGTAGCTGTGTGTATAGCTCCAGCCAAACAGGCTGGAGCCGTGTAAGTAATCTATTATAACAGCTAGCAACTGTTATAGCCTTTTGTAAGTAATGTTGTAGTTTTGTATTGTGTAATTATTGTGGTAAATTGACATTCTGCTAGCATTTGTTTAATTGTTATTATAATTATATTAAATATACATTTAATACTACAATGTTTTGTGTATTTCCTATTATATATTCGACCATAATACCGAACTCTATTAATGTTGTTATTTGTTGCTTAATTATATTAATTATTAAATTAATATTCATAGTTAAGTCACGACTGTAACACTAAGATTATTCAAGGAAATTCGACTATCTTGGCCCCTTCCAAGAATTTTATTATAATCTTTATAATCATTTACCAACAAATATGGAAAGTTTCCAGGGAAAAATAAAGCTTCCTAAAATATCAAAAGACCATTTTGGGAATTTGAATGAGCCCATATCAACAGCAGAGGTTAATATAGAGATTAGTTATAGCGGTTTAGTAACATCTTTTATAAACTGATGAAGGAAAATATAACGGACAGCTTAAACTTTAATGAGTTTATGGAAAAATGGGAAGATACCAGATGAACTCCTAAAGGCTCATATAATACCCATTCCTAAATAAATAAAAAAAGCATGAGTTGATTTCAAATTATAGACCCATTTCTTTATTGAATGTTGATATGAAAATGTATTTATCAATAATTGCTGCTAGATTGAATAACGTCATAACAGATATAATTCACAGAGATCAAGTTGGTTTCGTCTCCAAACGGTCATCAGTGTTTAATGTTAGACGTCTTGTTTATATCGTAGATTGGGTGCGGAAAAATAACTCATCCCTCCTGATCCTGTCACTTGATGCTGAGAAGGCGTTTGACGGGGTCAGGTGGGATTTTTTTAACGCTGTTTTGGAAGCTTTTGGTCTACCAGAGAATATAAGAAGGGCCATAATGGCTTTATATACTTCGCAGACGGCCAGAG